ATTCCTTGCTTGGGAAAATTACCACTGAATCTGAATCTGAATAAAAAGTGTGTTTAGAGGTGGCACATCAAGGATGTAGCAAATTGATGAAATACGGACAACTGGAAAACTGTTTTCCAGAGGCCGTGTACCCACCCCCATCCCTCCCCCACAATGTGTTACAGCTCGGTTTAAAAGAAACCAAAGACAACTGTTGTTCTCTTGCAAAAACATAGTGCAGGAGTGGCTGAGTGTCTGAACAGAAAAAGTCACAAATAAACAATGGTGAGACAGTAAAAATTCATATGTGTGAAAGGTCATGAGAACGATATTGTAAAAATGCTGATGGAGATTTTTTTCTGTGTAGGTCGTTGTTTGAAAGATGTAACAGGGTTAGCACCTGAATCTCAAACCTCACTTACACGCCACCTGCCTTGCATTTACATAGCATCTTTATTTAAGTGAAATATCCCGAGAAGTTCCACAGGCGTGTTATCAAAAGAAGTGTATTTACACAGAGCCATGTAATGAAACAGTTCTACAGGGGCATTGGTGACACTGGATCTGGAGTCCCGTGTACAGTACTGCTCACTGTACTTACAGAAGGATGTCAATGTGTTGGAAGCAGTTCAGAGAAGGTTTACCAGACTGATCCCTGGAATGGGTGGATTGCCTTATGAGAAAAGTCTAGACAGGCTGGGCCTGTATCCTCTGGAGTTTGGAAGAGTCAGAGGTGACTTTATTGAAACATTTCAGATCCTGAGCGGCCTTGACCAGGTGGAGGTGGGAGAATGGGAGAAACTGGAACTAGGGGTTAGAGTTTAAAAATACATTGGTGCCCATTTCAGACAGAGATGAGGAAACATTGTTTTCTCTCAGAGGGTTGAGAGTCTTTGGAATTCCCTCCCTCAAAAGGCAGTGATTGCAGAATGTTTAAATATTTTGAAGGCCGAGATAGATACATTCTTGATGACCAAGGGGATGAAAGATTATCAAGAGATATGTAGGAATGTGGAGTCGAGGTTAAAATCGGATTAGCCATGATCATATTGAATGGTGGGGCAGGCTGGAAGGCAAGCTCTTGTTCTTTGTTCATAATATGACATAAGGTGAAATATTGGTCAAAAGGAAAGATTATAAGGTCAATCTTAAAGGTGTAGGGAGATTTAGAGAGGTCTAGGAGGAGAATTCCACCTTTTAAGGCTGAGGGAGCTGAAGGCACACCGACAGTGAAGCGATTTAATTTGACAATGTGTAAAATTCCAGAACTGGAGGAGTGCTGATATTTTGAAATTCTGAAGAAGATTCAAACCGGACTCAAAGCTCCATTTCTCTCTCAACAGATGCTGCCAGACCTGCTGCGTTCCTCCAGCACTTTCTGTTTTTATTTCAGATCTCCAGCATCTGTAGTTTTTATTCCTCTCAGTAGGTTATCATGCTGGAGGAGGCTGCGGAGATAGGGAGAAGTGGGGACTGTGGACAGGTTTGAAAACAAGGATAAAAATTTTAAAATCAAGGCATCAGCAGACTGTGAGCCTAATGATAGTGCACCACTTCAATTTTATGTACTGACTAGAACCATGCGTTGCTGGCGGCCACTCGGCCCCTTATTCCTCTCACAGCTATTTGGCAGAACTATCCAATTAACCCCCATGCTTTGCCTATAGCTGTAGCCCTGTGTTTGAATGAAGATCAGGACGAGGCTAGTAAAATGGGGAGAAAGTAACTTCAGCTACCGAGATGGAAAAGATTTTATTCCATTAAATAACATGGTTACAGCGAAAAAAAAGAGACAATGAAGCTTAAGATGTAATAAATCTAATTTGGAAAATGTATTTCACACAAGATTAATCAGAGAATAAATTAGACATTATTTATGGGCAAGGGAGTTGCTTCGACTGGTTGATTAAATATTGAACTTTGCTGATGTATTACATTTCTAAAGAACTGCCTGAAAAGTAAAACTTTGTTAGCATCAAAAACCAGTGATAATCGGAAACATGACTCATGTTTTACTAGTTCTCTATCTGTTTTCAGTTTTTTTTATACCAAAAGAAACATTTAATTCCACATTCACGCCTCCAATGTGTTGACTTTAGAACCCATCAGAGGAAGTTTTGAAATTGCAATGCACATCATGAAACTGGACTGTTTGCCTTTGACTACAGTGTTCCAGTAAACTCCAGTATTTCTTTCACTTAATTCATTCTTCACATGTTAATGCATTCCCTGTACTGCATTTTCAGTCACTGGAGCTTTAAGTTTGTTATGTATAAAGTGCTAGCTTTGTTTTCCAGAAGCATCCTTTGTTCATAACATTTGCAAAAAGTACATTACAAAGCATTTCAAGTTGAATATTACAGAACTTGCAATAATATTCAAATCGCCTTCTCACAGCCCTCAGCACTCTCAGGTACCTCAGTATGATAGCAATATTTTTAATTATGATATGCACCCACATCAGGTAAACTGGCTGAGGGCAAAACATTTCAAATTGGAAATTACAGAAATTGCAATAAAAAGAAACTTTTCTCCATTCACTGGATCCCACTGCGAAGTGTAATCTCTACAGCTTCAATACTTTCCTGTCTATAAAGTACATTCTTTAATAAGTCACTGAGGCCAAGGTGTTTTTCCCAGTTTCCAACCTCTAGCTGAAAGGCCTTAGAAACATTGAAACTAGGAGCAGGAGAAGGCCATTCAGCCCTTCAAGCCTGCTCTCCCATTCAGTAAGATCATGGTTGATCATCTAACTCAGTCCCCTGTTCCCACTTTCTCCCCATACTCCTTGATCCCTTTAGCCCTAAGAAATATATCCATTACCTCCTTGAAAACATTCTACATTTTGGCCTCAACTGTTTTCTGTGCCAGAGAATTCCACAGGTTCTCCACTCTCTGGGTGAAGACATTTATCCTCATCTCAGTCCTAAATGGCCCAACCTGTATCTTTAGACTGTGACTCCTGGTTCTGGACTCCCCCATCATCAGGGACATCTTCCTGTGTTTACCCTGTCTAGTCCTGTTAGAATTTTATAGGTTTCTATGAGATCCCCCCTCATTCTTCTGAACTCCAGTGAGTATAGTGCTAACCGATCCAGTCTCTCTTCATACGTCAGTTCTGCCATCCCAGGAATAAGTGACAGCGATGACTTTGACAATGACCTTTCTTCATTGTGTCTCTGTGCTGCTTCAGTATGCTATAGGCACTCGTTGTAACTTGGTTGTACCTGGGACCAGTGTGTGTGAGAGGATAGGATCACAATTAGGAGATGCACAATACAATTGCACTCACACAGTCTCACACACACAAACAGAGCAATTACATTCACATTGTCATGCCCAAAACAACAACAACTTGCATTTATGTAGTGGCGTTAACAAAGTCCCTTGTCATAAGATGCTTCACGGGACTGGTTATCCAAGGTCTTTGATACTGGGCCACTGAGTGTTTAAGGCATAGAGTTTAAGAGCAGGGAGGTTATACTGGAACTGTCTAAAAAGTTGGTAAGGCCACAGCTGGAGTAGTTCAGGAATCCACATTATAGGAGAGGTCTGACTCACTGTAGAGGGTGCAGAGAAGATTTACCAGGATGTTGCCTGGGATGGAGATTTTTAGTTACAAAGACAGACTGGATAGACTAGAGTTGTTTTCCTTAGAGCTGAGGAGATTGAGAGGGGACATGATTGAAATGGATAAAATAATGGGTGGCATATAGTAAATAGAAAAAAACTTTTTTCCCTTTGATGGAGGGATAAATGACTAGGGGCAATAGATTGAAGGTGAGGGGCAGGTGGTTTAGAGGGGGGTGTGAGGAAAAGCTTTTTCACCCAGAGGGCAATGGGAATCTGGAACTCACTGCCTGTAAGGGTGAGAGAGACAGAAATTCTCAGAACAGTGAAGAAATATTTAGATGTGCACTTGTGATACCAAGGCTATGGGCCAATTGCTGGGAGATAGGATTAGAATAGTTAGGTGGTTATTTTTGACCAGTGCAAACATGATGGGCCTAAGGGTGTATTTTTGTGCTGTGGATCTCTATGACTCTAGGACTGGATGACTCTCTAAGGAGATAGTAGGGGAGGTGACTCGAAACTTGGTCAAAGAGGGCATTTTTAAGGAGTGATTTAAAGAACGGAGAGGCAGAAAAGTTTAAAGAGGCAATACCAGAAACTGCAGCCCAGGCAGCCGACACTAATGCTGGAATGATTAAAATCTGAGGATGTGCAAGAGGCTGAGAATTTGAGGAGTGCCCAGATCTCAAGCTTTGTAGAGACGCAGGAAATTGCAGAGCAGGGAGCAGGGCATCTGAATACACAGCTGTGGGTTGTATTCGTACTGGGCTGTAAGTGGAGAGTGTCGTTGATCTTCCCAGTGTTTGGTGTCAATCAGATGGCTTAGCATTGTTACTGGCGGTGAAAGTCAGTTGATAAGTTAAAAGCGCTGTGTTTTCATTCTCATTTTTCTGGGGAAGATTTTTTTTCAAAGGTTCCCCCTAACAGTTAAACCAAAACTCTGCCTACCTTCTCAGATGTGTGGAAAGATGCCACAGCCATTATTTTGAGCAGCAAGGGTATTAGACCATAAAGATGCACAAGCCGAACAGACCATTCAGCCCATCAAGTTCCTCTGCCATTCAATAAAATCGTGGCTGTTTTATAACCCTCAAGTCCACTTTCCTGCCTTTTCCCCAAACCCCTGATTAAAATCTGACTGATGCTGCCGGGCCTGCTGTGTTCCTCCAGCTCCACACTGTGTTATCACTGACTCCAGCATCGGCAGTTCTTACTATCTCTTAAAATCTGATTGTATCAGGCTTGAATATACTTAATGACCCAGCTGCTGTAAAGAATTCCCTACCCACTGAAAATTCTGGCTGTGGACCGTCAATCTAACCATTAAAAGCGGATTTACCAAGTCATTTTTCGAAGGGCTTCTAGTGGGATCTTGCAATGCAAATTGGCTGTTGATTTTCCTGCATTACAACAGTGGTTATACTTCGAAATTAAAACCAACAAAGCACCCATCTCTCGCCGTGAAGCGCCTCGCTGGATTTGCTGCATTTCTTTTTGGAGAGCCAGCTCAGTGTTTTGAGGGTGAAGGTGGCTGTGTCAGATAGGAGAGTAACTCTGTCTGTCTCTAACCCCAGCAGGGAGCGCTCCTCCACACAATCCCCTGCAACACAGACAGCTCGGCGTCTGCAATCTTATTTCGGAAAAAAGACGCAAAAAAACTTTGCAGTTAATGTTCGGAGAACCGCAGCTACTGAACTTTTTTTTTACACAATAAAACTGAAGCGAAAGCTTTATTCTGGAAATGTGAGGATTATTTGAATGTATTCACTGGCTGCGGGGGGTCAGGCATTGCACGGGAATGTATCGGTTTCCTGAACACAAATGAACGCTAAATGTAAAGTGAGTGAAAGGAACTAGGATGGAAGGAAGAGACCCTGCTGGGACTGGGAAATCAAATGTAAGCCGCACGGTTGCTTGGCCCTGTGTAACACCAGCCTCTTGTAGGTTCTAGTCGCATTTGGTGCTAACATGCACTTTGGGAATGGGGCTGATTGTATCAGTGAGGTTGGAGATGGCTCAAGTTCACATCAGTGCAATTTCCCAAGTGAAGTGTCGATCGGCAGAGAAGGACTAAAGTCCCTTTAAGGGGGCACTTTGACCCCTTTAAGATCTTGCCTCCCACTTGGCTCAGTGACGTGGTACAAGACCGGCTCTTTAAATATGGGAAGGCAACTTGGGCTGTGAGTTACTCAGGAGCCAGAAAGTGCCAGTGTGTGTGGGTGCGTGTGTGTGTGTGTGTGTGTGTGTGTGAGAGAGAGAGAGAGCTGGGCGGCCGATTACAGACTGAGGCAGGAACTATCCAGGCACACACACACACACAGAGAGAGAGGAAATCCCCCCTGTGTTGTCTACCAGAGCTTCGGCCGCATGTTGTGACAGCAAGTCCGGGCAGACACAGGGACAGAGAGAGAGAGAGAGAGAGAGAGAAGCACCCGACCCTCAGACTCTATTCCCAGGCGGGGTGGGGGTCAGAAACCCTGCTGGAGACTCTGGACACAGCTCGGAGGTAAGCAGGAGCTGAAGTTTAAGCAATTATTGACTGATCCCTACAGCGGTGAATATAGCAAAGAGTGGGGAAGGTATTGTGTGTGTGGGTATTGAGTGTGTGTCTGTGAGCATTGTTCAAGGCTATGTGTGAGAGAGAGGGGAGAGGGTTTGAGTGTAGAGCATTGTCTGTGTGTGTGTGTGAGTGTGAGGGTTATGAGTGTGTGTGTGTGAGTGGATTGTCTGTGTGTGTGTGTG